TTTTATTTGAATAGTATGTGGTTATTACAAGGTAGTATTTGTTCATAATCTTTCTTAATCATGGACAACGCACCCACCCTGCAAATGTAGTTGCTCGAACTCAAGATCTCAAGAGAGAACAACACTCTTTTTAACCAAAATCAAGCCAATCAAACAGTACCATGAAAACCAAATCTAACGTGTTACCAAACCCGGTTCGAAGTTTAATTCATTGGAGGTTTAAAACTTGGCTGGCATTTTAGTGAGACCCATGCATTAGTCCATTGCTTTTCATGCACGAAATACTGTAATTTTTTAGCACAAATTCCCTCACTTTGAGCAGTTCAAAGACGCACACATTCCCTTCTTATCCAGTGTGAATTCGTACCATAGCCTTGCCATCTTTATAAAGGTATCGTACTAACCACATGAGGAAGATGAAGTTTAATAGCTCCGGAAACCCCATTAAAATGGTAAGTTGTGCAAGAGGAAAAGTCGAAATGCATGCTACAGGGTGAAATTGAGAAAGGTACGAACAACGAGCCATAGATTTAAATTGCAATTACGACCGTGTTTTCGATTGTGTTACGTTTATCGTGATTGTAGATATAGTGGGCGATACTACAATCATTACGAGTATCACGTCATACAACAATGATTTTAAACTATACCGTTACCGTTATATAATTAACAATCTGTATCCCAAATGAACCCCTATTTAAATCCACACACACACAAATATATCCTTTGTATAAATATGATGGTGCAAGACGACCCTGCAGAAGAAAGGGTTAGCTGACTCAAGTGCTTTGGCCTGCATTAATTGCTCTCTCTCTCTCTCTCTCCCCAACAGTCACATTTCTCTTCCGGCTGAAGCACTTCCATAACATCTAAAGCGCATATCAACATCATCTATCCAGCTGATGACTCCTTTATGTCGACATTCATTTAACAACCGGTCATAAGTTCTAATTCCTAAAACAAAATCTTAGCAAAAATAAAATTTAAAGTAGATATTATCAATAGAACGAACAACTAATATTTCACAATAAACACTGTCACGTAACCCTTATAACATCGGATCAATCTTTCTCTTCCTGCAAAGCATTATGGATAATGGGAAAATGTCATCAATTCAATATATATATATATATATTAAAAATTTTGAAAATAGATTATGAATTCATATATTTTATAATTTTTATTTTTTTTGAATTCATATTTTAAAATATTATAAAAGTATGAAAATAAATTTTAATTACAGTTGAGAGAGACTAAATAAGATATTATTAATTAATTAATTAATGTATTATACTCTCTTTAATCACAAGATTATCTCTTCTCACCGTATCTGTTGTGATATGCATGGAACGATTAGGTTATAGTATCGAATATGCATTGGATGTTGGCCTATGGGAGCCGATGGTTCTATCTCGTGGAGGTCCTCTCCTATCACACATTTTCTTTACAGATGATTTGGTCCTTTTCTGCAAAGCTTTTCCGAGCCAAACTAACCTCTTGGACGTTATCCTCGACCAGTTCAGTAGATTCTCAGGTCATAAGGTGAGCTCGAATAAAACAAAGATTTTATTGTCCTCCAATGTTGACGAGAAGTCTACGAAATCATTATGCTTTTCATTGACCTTTCAACGAATTAGATATCTGGGCATGTCTCTATTTCATAACAAAGTGACCAAGAATACATTCCAATTCATAATTGACAAAGTCGGTAGTAAGCTAAGTGGTTGGATGGAACTAAGTTGTCTTTGGCAGGACGTGTGACCCTTGTCAAAGCTACCTTATTAACAATCCCCAATTATTTCATGTAAACGATAGATTCTTAAGGGAGTTTGTGACAAAATTGAGCAAATAGCACATCGATTCATGGGAAGGAACAAGTAATAGTCCGAAAGTTTTTCTCGTTAAATGAAAATTTTGCTGTCAACCACCGATTAACAACGGGTTAGGAATTCGACCACTTCGAACACAAAATGACTTTTTACCACAACTTGATGCATCCGGAGGCTCTTTGGGTTCAAGTTCTTCTCTCGAAATATAAAATAAGGGAATAAATGTCGGAACATTTAGTAGCAAGGAGGTGTTCCTTTGTGTGGAGATCCCTATCTCGTATCTTGAGCTTCATTCGAGAAAATGTTTGTTAGTTCGTTGGCGATGGAAAGAGAACCAAGTTTTGGATTAAGGTTTGGATTACCGAGACAGAATTCTTTGTTGATTTGTTCCTCCAGACCATACCCTGACTAGGGATGGTAAATGGGCGGGCCGGGTGTGATACCCCCTCCCTTATTCTCATACCCACCTAATATTTTCAAATCCACCATCCGTCCACCACCCATGATGGATAAAATTTTTCAAATCCACACCCGCCCACGAGAGTACATTCTCAAATTCATCCCCACACCTACTACCCAAATAGAGACGTACCCGACTAGACCCGCCTGACAGCAACATTAAGTTATATATAAGAAACACACATAAAACAAACATATCTCTTAAGAAGCATAATAAAATAAACCAAAGTGTATCTGAGTTAAGTGTTAACATAGATCTTAAAGTACATAAAATACCATAAAAAAGATGTAATTAAAGCCTAGAGACATAAATGATAAACATAATATTTTTGTTCTTTGACACGACATTCTCAAATTTCAAACAATACTTGTGACATTTGTTACTCCAGTATTACAATCATCATTATCTATTTCTTCTAGAGACCTCTCCAATTTAAATTCACTACTACCTACATATATAATAGAAGACGAAATTAATATAAGTTAATAACTAAACTTTAATAAGATAATTAAGCACAATTTGACAACTAACATAGACTAAATAATAGTATTGCCTTTAATATTGGCCCAAAGCTAATTCTGAGCACACATTAATGCTTCAATCGTCTCTGGAAGTAGTCGACTACGATAGGGACCAATTACTCTTCCACCTATATTGAATGCATATTCCGATGGGATAGTAGAGACATGAATGCTCAAAATATCATTTGCTATTTGTTGGAGAGTTGGATAACTATTTCCATTTGTTTTCCACCAGTTAATAATATCAAAATCATCAACAAGTGGTATGTTGGCAGTTTCTAAGTACTTGTCCAAATCAGATTATTTTGAAATTGCATCATTATTTTGCTCTACAAATTCAGCAAACTCGTTCAACATTGTTCCTTTGATTAATTATCCCTAATATTTGGTTAAATTATAAGTTATATCTATACAATATTAAGATTTATATATTAGTCTCTAAAATATATCTAAATTCATAATGGTCCAAAATTTAATGGGTATTTAGTGGGCAGGCAGATGCAGAGCGGGTAAGGTCTCAAACCCATCACCCGCCCACTACTCGCGACGGATGCCACTTTCTAAATCCACACCTGCCCACTACCCACTAAAGTTATACACATCCCCGCCCTAATTGAAACGAATACAATACGAAATCCACGAAATTGTACTTGTTTTCCACCCTAACCCTGACATCCAAGTTGTAGTGCATGACTATGCAACTAGTGAAAGTGACTGGAATACCCAATATTAGGGGTGTTCAAATTAACCTATAATTGTTATTTTGACCCGCTTAAATTCAATACAAAAATTGAAATCCTCTACTCGTATTTGACTTGAAATCTGACCCGATATTTTTGGTTTAAACAACATCAACCAGACCTATATATATATAATAATTTTTTATCACGTAAAATAAGTATTTAAATGAAAAAATAAAATAGAAAGAATATTATTATAATTATCTCTAAATATATAAAGGATAATTATAATATTTTACCAGGTCAGGTCGGGTTAAATTTTTCATCCAAACTCAAACTCAATTCGAACCCAAATTTTTAAAATAAAAAATCATAGGATTATATCAAAATTCATCATGTACCAATGAAATTATCATCCTAATAAGGAACGGTCACAACTTCCAATATTATAAAAAAATATTTTTATTATTTTGTTAAAGTAAAAAATGGGCCCCGAATTGGAGCTCATACGAGTTGGGCATACCATAATCCTACAACCTACTAGTTGATAATGACCGAAATTAAAAAAAAGAAAAGAAAAATGATATGATTATGGTTCAATTAGTTCTAAGAACCTTTGTATTTCTTCTTGTGTAACTCTAATTTCTGTCCTCAGAGGAATATTCCGTGGCAAAACATTACCAATAATATTATAATATTATATATTATGTTACGAGCGTGAATGTCAAATATAAGTAGATATTCGATACGAATACGAATATATATATATATATATATATATATATATATATATATATATATATATATATATATATATATATATATATATATAATGTGTTACACATTAGAATTTGTAAGAGGAAAAAATAACCAAAGCGATATCAACAACATGCACAAGAGACGAGATTTAACGTAGTTCGATTTGTATACCTCCATGGATAAGATGAACAATAATTTATTATAGATGTAGAGAACATGAGAGTACAAATACATGATATCACATATATTCAAAACCCGTATAGACACTAAAACCCGATGTATCCCAAAAACTTTTTCAATTCTACAAAACTATCTCTGCAACATAAACTTCAAAAGTTGCAGAGATCCAAAAAAGATTACATCTCTCCAAAATAATTATCTTACACATTAGATTAATACATTATCTCTCCAAAAAAAAATTATATTTCTTTAAAATAATTATAAAAAACCATACTTAATCACTAATTATAATTTGGATCAAAATATAACAAAAACGATATTTAGAAGTAATATATTAACTTATCATATAATATATATATATATATATATATATATATATATATATATATATATATATATATATATATATAGCGGCCGGCTTGTGACTGCCAGATAATTGAATCCAGACAATACATAGTAGATGAAAACTAGAAAATCTTGTAACCAAGAACATGTTGCTAGTGGCCAACTGGCAATGGCCGGCATAAGTTCTATAAACAATGAAAATTGAGCAAATTAAGGAGCATTAAAGATGGAAGAACTGCAGGAAGAGCATATCTATCATTTCAGCCATCAGCATCCGATACTACACACTACAGGTTCAATTCCGGATGGCGACATCATCTGTTCCGGTTGCAAGCTCAGTATATTACCGGCTAATGGCTATTACACCTGCAAAACCTGTCCTTTCTACCTTCACCAAGTGTGCTACAATATGCCGAGGAAAACTCGTCATCCGAGCCATCCCAACCACCTTTTAACCCTTCACGTCGTGCCATCGGATAGCGATCGAACATTTGAGTGTCGGGCTTGTGGACATCCTGTCAACGGCTTCTACTACAACTGTGCAGAATGTTGCATTTGCTACCATGTCTTATGCTCAGCATTGCCACTTTCAGTGTCAATAACTTGTCACCTTCATACTCTCAAACTAGAATTTTCACCTCCTTTTGATTTGCAATGTGACATTTGCCAAAAACTGGCTATCTATAACGGTTGGCTTTATAGGTGTCAAATTTGTGAGTTTGATGCACATCTTGCTTGTGCCATTCTGAACCAAATAACCCAATCATTTCGGCATCCGCCCGCACTGTTGGCGGACTCTTCAACGACGAAGATAAAGCATTCATCGGCATCGTTAATGGAGACTAAACAAAGAGAAAATTTCATTAATGAAGGAACAGAATTGATGCAATTGGTATCCCTGGGTGTCACTAGGAACAACAATGACAACACAGTAGTTGGATGGCATCAGAGACTGCATGGTCCTAAGAAGAAACTTACAACAGGAAATGGCCAGGATGTACACACTGGATCGACTTCTCCGGTCCGAAAAGTGCAAGAGACTGACCAATCGAGTCTTCTTTCCTCGGACACGAGCATGGAGCCGACGCCGAGTTACCAGTTCAGCGATGGATGTTTTTCCATAGACTTGGCAGGATCATATTCAAGTTTTGATCATACAATTCAGGCAAGGAAGGAGTCTAAGGTTTCCGATTCCGATGCGACCGCTCCTGGGAAAGGTAAAGAAACAACAATCGAGAGGAAAAACATGCTTGATAGGATCACAAGCAACTTAGAACCACCGAAACAAGAAACCATTTATGGTAAGAAGGAAAGTTTTGATAGTAGGATGAGTGAGGCTTTCTTAAGCCGAAACAGAACTCATTCGGAGGAGCAAGGGAATCGAAAGAAACTGTCAAATGAATCCAGGAGCATGCCTGGAGTTGGAAATCAGAGCAATAAATCTGAAAATGTAAGTGCAAGTAACCATATTTCATGCATTAGTTCCGAATTTCCTTAGCATCTAACACGCACACATCTTGTGTTCAATTAAATATCGAACTCGAACTCGAGAGAATAACATACTCTTTTATCACTAATGTATGGGTTGAATTAAATATCGTTTTTGAAACAACTCCTTAATTTGCAGGAAAAGTCAGGCTGGAACATCTTCCATTGTTGCTTTCCACAAAAATATGAGAGAAGTATTACAGTTTTCGGCGATGGGAGGAGTTGAAAGGCTGGGAAAATGGCAAAATTGATTGTCCATGTCTCCAGGGTTAAACGTGATCGTTTCATCTCCCTTCAATCTAATTCGGATACCCCAACTATCACTTTTGTTTCATTTTGATCATCTAACTATTTTTCAAAATTATACATAAAGTTACGTTTTGATTTCATTTTGGTCGCTCACTGTTAAAAAATAACAGAATTGGTAACTTGACATTTTTTTCAATGATGACATGGCATTATCTTATGGTAACACGTCATCATCACTGTTAATTTTTTAATGGTGGGTGACCAAAATAAAGTCAAAACTAAACACTAGGTATTGTTTTAAAAAAAATAGTTAAGTGACAAAAAAAGTAATAATGTAATAATTAGGATACTAAACGTGTAGTTTTCCGTTGTTTCTTTTATTACTTGGCAAACATAGCAATGCTGAAAAGAAATAAGATTTACCTAAATTACAATGTGTATTGGGATCTTAGATTACACAAACAAATATATTAAATAGAATTAAAAGTAAACTATATTCTATGTCACTTAATTATGAGTTTAGTGATCAATATATTATTTTTTTAAAATATTACAAATAAGTTTTCAATTAAAATATTATTACAAATAGGTCATATTGTAGTTAAAATTGAAACAAAATAGTGATATGGCATGGTATAATAACAGTTTAGGTCATTAAAACTTATACAATTTATCAATTTGGTCATGATCTGAAACAATTCAATAAATTTAACACTTCCTATTTAAAAATTATATCATTTTAGTCTTTGTTCTTTTCCAATAAATGTTATATTACTTTCTTGGTATAATAATGGTTTAACAATAACGTGTTACTGCTTTATGGTAGAATGAAGTTGTCTAACTACTACTTTGATTTGATGGATTCGCTTAGTTTGACAATATCTTAAAAATAGACTAATTGATGAATTTTTAAATCTAAAAGGTTAAATTTATTGAATTAAGATACAAGTAATAGAATATAACGGGGACCAGAATGTTATTATACCAGAACACATTAGATGTTCGTTTCAACTTTAATGACTAGGTAACATGTTTATAACTTTTAGACAAAAAGTGATTCATTTATTACCAAACTCATAATTAAGTGACATTGGACGTAGTTTTCCAAAGTTAAAAAATAAAAATATAATAAGGTAAAATACTCCCTAGATCATTCAATTATGTATTTTCAACAAACGAGTTATTTTTTTTAAAAATTTACAATTTGGTCACTTCATTAAAAATTATTACAAATAGGTCATTAGCCCTTAAATATTAGACGAAAAAATGGTGTAGCTTGATTTAATAACACTTTTATTTTCTAAAACTTATATATTCTATTAATTTGATCCTAATTTCAAATAATTTAATAAATATAATCTTTCATATTTTTTTTATCAATTTAGACTTGTTCGTCTCTTAAATTGATTGTTCTTCTCCTAAAGATGTTATATTACTTTCTTATTACTTTATTGATATAATAATAGTTTAATAATAATTTGTTGCTTTATGACATGTGTAATTATTCAATTGTTGCTTTGATCCGACAAATTCAATTTTCACAATAACACAAAAAAGGACTAAAGTGATAAAAATTAATTTTATTATATCATTACATATTACTCTAATTTAAAAATTGTCATGGAATAATAAAAAATTGTTACATGTAGGGATGGGCATGGGTCGGGTTTTTGGTCTACCCGACCCGACCTGAGAATAAGGAGTCATCCACCCGAGACCGACCCGACCCGACCAAAACAAGTTTTCACCCGACCTGAACCCGACCCGATATATAATTTAAAAACCCAACCCGAAATAATAAAAAATTATTTTTATTCAATAAAAATAATGACTTAATTGAAAAAAATAATATATAGAGGGGTATTATTATAATTATTCCTAAATATATAAGGTCAAATTATATATTTTTTCGGGCCGGATATTTTTCACCCTAAACCCGAACCCGACCCGACCCAAAAATCACATTAAAAAAACCTCGACCCAATCAGAATTTTTAAAAAAATCTGACTTGATCGGATCGGGTCAGGTCGGAACCCGTCGGGTTCGGGTCCCATGCCCATCCCTAGTTACAATGTAATGAAAATTTAAAAAAAATTATTTTCTTAAAATAAGCAAAAATTCAAAAAAAAAAATAAAGATTATTTCCTTTTTAAAAGTTTTAAAATATAAATAATTTAAAATATCCAACATTCAAAGTTCATTTTTAAATGATTAAGAAATATTTTTATAGGAATACCGAATTCAGGTCTCATCATCTTATTGATTTGAATAAAATTATATATATATATATATATATATGCTATTTTTTTGATCGATTTAATCAGATCGAGTATTATAGAAACGAAGAAAAATATCCTAACCTAATTTACTCCATTTATAAATATCAAAATTCGAACATGTGATATTACTTATTTAATGCATTATTTTACTAAACCAACTTCTTGATATATATATATATAAACATGCGCTTTATGATAAGCTAAGAATGCCCTTATTCTACGGCGGAATGTAAGAGGGCCCTCCATAGTCGCTTTTATGTAATAAATTTACACTTTATTTTATGATGATTTTGCAAATTCTCCCTCCTTGTCTCTTAGGTCTATATACATATATTACGCATCTTTTTAGGTCGATTTTTCAGTACACCTATGAAACCATTAGTTGAAGAATAATGTAAATACATCTTGTTGGGTTGTTGAAAGTAGTCCTTGCTTTTCAAATCTTTATTATTTGCAAAAATATTTAACTCAATTCTTTTTATGTGAAATTATTGCAAATTTGCAATGCAAGTTTATATATTCATGATGTTAAATATAAACTTGCATTGCAAAAGTATATTCATGATTTCAACCATAGAGTATGTATAACCTTGTTTGTTAAAGGAAGTTACCAAAAATTTGTTGAGCTCTATTGATCTCTACAAAAGAAATATAAATGTATAGATCACATAAAGTATAAATATGTAGAATTTCTTTCTAACCCAAAGTTTAGTATATACCCCAAATTTGGTGAATACCCAATAACTCTTTCAATGTCCCTATAAAACTTATCTTTACTACCGACATCCCAAAAATTCTAAAAATCACAAAAGATTACATATATTTTTGTATAATTCTCTTATATAATTCTAAAGGTTAGATATCCTATATATATGGGTAAAACCAATTTAATTGCCAAGAATTATTACTCCATAAGAATCATTACCTAAATAAACTTAATCAGTAATTAATCTTCAACCACTTGAATTACAATCAAATTCAACTTAATTACTAATTAGAATTTAAGTCAATATGTAATAATATCCCTTGACATAAATTCCATCCAGACATTGATCTTTAATTCTCCAACAACTTCAATTGTTACGTAAATCAAGTATTCGTTGAATCATCATCGTTAATTATTCAAGAACACAATTCTTACATATTATCCATTAAAACACCACCTAATTGATTGGTAATTACTCCCTCTTACAACTAAAAATTCATCATAGAAAATTTTCTTTTATGTATCTTCAATATTGTTAAATAAAATTTATAATAATAATAAATTTCTTTAAAATTCTACGAATCAAATCATAGCTCATAATATTATTTATTAGAAATTTATAAGTGTAAAATTAAAAATTGAAAGATTAAGATAAAATAAATCACATAAAAGAAGTGAGATTTAACGTGTTTCGATATAGTATATTGTAATCACTAATTTTTACCCATATTAAAATAAAAAATAGAAAAAAATGAAGGAACGTAAATCCCTGAATATCTGGGGCATTAAGTACCCCGGTTACTGTTGCTGCCATCAGCAAGCTCTCCAACAACCTCCATGTCCGGTCACTGTGCCACCAAATCCCAACAGCTTCCTTCACGCTAGCCCCAACACTCCATGCCATAAAGCTCTCCCCGTCATCAACAACCACACAAACAACATCATCTTTTTTCTTTTCCATTTATTTTTACACATGTAAATGTGTTAATATAAAAACTCGAAAAACTAGTATGTAACGGGGGCTCAGTAGATTTAAAAAAGGAGGGAGGAGTTCTCTCCATTAGAAAAAAATAGTGTGCAATGGGGGGCTCTCTCACTGTTTCTTCGATAAAAAAAATAGGAGAGCATTTGTAATTTTTAGCTTCTTCTTTTTTGTCTTGAAATTAATACAACAAATAAAAAAGCTCTTTTTAGGTATTTTAGTCCTTTTTTCTCTCTCTTTGCAACCAATATTTTTGAACCAAACAAATAAGAGAAAGAGAAGAGGTTTGTTTTCTTTTTTACCTTGGCTAGTCGAGATCTGGTCGTCGGGGTGTGAGCGTGGCTGGTGGTCGTTCGTTGTCGGGTCCGAGGGTTAAGCTATCATTTGCGATGGTTTAGGGGCTCTCGTTTTTATTGGTTTAGCCCTAAATCAGGGCCGTTAGTTTTCTTTTGGGTTTGGTTTTTAGTAAACCGACCATCGATAGTGGTGGTCGGAGTACAGGCGGTCGATTATCGATGTTTTTATGGGGTTGGGAGTGATCAGTAAAAAAAGAGATGAGAGCTCTGGGCTTTTTGGGTATTTTTGTTTTTTAGAAGAGAGAGAGATGTAAACGACGGCGGTTGTCAGAGAGTGGCCACCAAAACACAGTGGCATGCGTAGGTTGAAGGCTCTTAGCCGAGCCATGGAGATGGGGAAGCTTTGTTTCTTTGTTGAGAGAAAAGGGAGAAGATGTGTGTTTTTTGGCTATGGTTAATTTTTAGCCAAAAAACTGGCTAAAACATGTATTTATAACC